TGTTAATATCTGTTGAAGGATGTTAACATATATCCTTCAACAGATATTCTTAACGTCTCTTCTCATTATTCTTCAGTTTCACAATTTTACTATTCTTATACAACTATTCTTCCAACATACCTTCAAAATTATTTTATCCTATTTAGAAAACATTGTGATTCTATCTGGAAACACATTTAACTTAAGTACAGTAGATTTTCATTATTCATAGTAGTAATGCTCTATAAGGCCACCATGAACACTGAATTAGGAAATACTGAACCCATTGCTCCCAGAGGAAATACAGGGTTAGGTTCCTGCAAGCTTATGGCCACAACATTTTTGTCAACCAATCAATGCACAACATTGTCTTATGTGTTTCAATATGAAGACAGTTTTTATATATATATTGTTGATTCATTAGCATTAAACTCACGGTCAACAGCAATATAAATCATACCTGAATGAAGCTTATTTAACACGTGTTGTTTTTCGTCAAGGCACACTGTAGCCTTGCTGTGCTTAGGAACACTAGACAGCAATTCAGTACCATGCTTTGGGGCCATTTGCAAGAGTGAAATCACCAACAAAAAGCACAGATATGCAAAAACCATGACACAAAATAGACATGAAAAGGACACTTGCTTATAGTATGAGGGCTGAAAGAGTAACACAGAGCACTATCTGGTTTGACCTCAGCTGGGAACATGTGCATCAGGCAACTCAAAATTTTTGCCACTCTGCTCATGTATGCAAACAATGCAAAAACACTGTGAGTGTTAATTTTAGGGTTACAAATAAATTTTTGCAAACAGGCAAATTTGTAAGTATTGAATCTGTGATTAATGAAAATCAACAATTAATTTTTGGAGCAGGCACATTCTTAGGCAAGTCTTCTCATTTAGGAATTTGGTATTTTCTCCTTTTGTTCATGACTTTTTTTCTGTACTCAATGGAATATATTTTTCTTTATTTGGGTCTTGTATCATTTTTGTGAATCTTTTTTGTAGTTTCTTTTAAAGATAATTTTTACATGTATTTTGAATTAGATTTTTATAAAATTTCTGGCCTATTATTGCTAGTACAGTGAAGAATTTTGTGTATTTTTTATTTTATTTTTCCATCATCATTTGAAGCCTATTAATTCTAGCAATGTTTGCTAGTTACTTGGGGTTTCTTGGTAATTCACAATTAAATTTGCTACAAATAGAAGTAATTCTGTCTGTTATTTTTCAGCATTTTAGTTTTCTTTTTAATTGCATGTTCAAAAATTTCCTAAAATATTTAATAAGAATGATGACATTTGGCACCTAGCTTTCGATTCTGGTTTTGTAAATGAAAGTATTCTCAGTGTAAAGTATCATATGCAAAGTAAATAAAACCACATCAAAAGGGAGAAGGCTTATTACCATGCAGATTGTTTGCTGAATCATTGAAAGAATTCAATATTATCACTTGGCAATAACCATTGATCTCTTCAAAGACGGTCAGTGCTAGTGTGCCAACTTAATAGATATCAAAGATACTTTTTTTTTTACTGTTATTACATTGTCATTGAGTAATGTTCCACATTCTTTCTCCTAGATCAGCCACAAATCAGAATTTCTGAACTCATCAAAGTCTAGGCTACACTGAAAATTATTACATAAGACTGTTACTTTGGGGAACAACTCTATTGTACTTGGGGTGGACAGAGTACAACACAGTGACAGTTAGAGAACCTTAGCTTTGTACAGCCCTTGCAATTCCCTTTCCTCATCTTATCTCCAGAAATGCCACTCTGGGAGTAGAGAAGAGAGGTTATCTCAGTTAACAGCTAAAGAGACTGACTCAAAAAAGTGAAGTGACTTCCTCATGGCCACACATATGGTTAGTTGAGGGCAAAACTTCTGTCTGTTCCAGATGCAGTCAAACTTCATTACTTTGTTCCAACACTCCTTGACTCTTTCTACATTCTAAAAGAGCTTGTGGCTCACCTTATCTATCCAACCCTCTATCATGTACTATACATTTTATTATTCATTCATTCAGTCTGTCATTCAACAAATATTTATTGAGCATTTATCATATTCAGATATGATTATAGATTCTGGCAATACAATTGGAAACAATGGACATTCCTCCCCTCATAGAGCTTACATTATAGAGAAGGGCACAGCAATAAATAATAAATAAAGTAAAATAAGATACAGGATGTCAGAGGAAGTTCTTTGAAGAAAAATAAAGCCAGCAAGGATAACTGGGAGTGCCAGAGTGAGGACAGGGGCAGAATGGTAAATGGTTGCCTTCAGGATGAGCCTACATTAGAGCAAAGACCTCGGCCGGTCTTTGGGAGGTGAGCAGTCAAGCCACGCACGGAGGTGATGTAGGGGTACCAGTCCCCCGAGGTGGCCGCATGCCTGGTGTGTTCACGGAGAAGCACAGAGAGCTGTGAGGCTGAACCTGGAGAGATTAGCATGGTGGACCAAATGGACCAAGACTAAGTATTGTTACAACTTTTCACTTTTAGCCTAAACACAATGGGAAAATGATGGAGGAATTTGGTTTAAAAAAGCCATGAGGGTTTGGAGCGGATGAGTGTGTGAGAAGTGCTGTCATGTTTGTGTCAAAAATGTGTAAAAGATCAGTCTGGCTTCCGTGGCCAAAAGCAACGCAAATAAGAGTATGGATCGGCTGGGCATGGTGGCTCATGCCTGTAATCCCTGTACTCTGGGAGGTTGAGATGGAGGGATCACTTGAGGTCAGGAGTTCGAGACCACCCTGGCCAATATGGTGAAACCCGTCTCTACTAAAAATACAAAAATTAGCTGAGTGTGGTGGTGGGCACCTGTAATCCCAGCTTCTTGGGAGGCTGAGGCAGGAGAATTGCTTGAACCCGGGAGACAGAGGTTGCAGTGAGCCAAGATGGTGCCATTGCACTCCAGCCTGAGTGTCCCCAGCAAGACTTCATCTCAAAAGAAAAAGAGTGTGGATCTTTGTGATGTGGCTATGAAAATGTAGGAATTTGGGTAAGATCTCAAGTATCCAATATATTCAGATGATTAACATTTTATTGTTACTTTCCTAGTGAAAGGTGAGAATAGCTGGCTTTAAGAATAAAGATAAACTGGAACCTGGTATCTTTGTTTTTATTTTTAAATTTAAATTCTATGTGCAATATTAAAGATACACATCAAGATGATATCCAAATTCTCTAACTTTAATCATATACTGATAACCTGATAGGTAAATGTGACACAAGAATAATAGATAGCGCCTAATTTTGACGTCATTGTGTACTTTATTCTTTAAGGAACCATAAACATTCTTTAAAGAGCCAATTAAAGTACAACAAACTTTAAAGCAACAAAATGCCCACCGAAATAGAAGTCTGGAATTGAGATGGAAATTTGCTGCTGGATGTCTGAGAAAAGATTAGAGAATTATAAAAGAAATGAACCAATAAGTCCAATCTGATTTAAAGTAATCTATTCTTATACTCCTAGGAGGCAAAGTGAAAGTCAATCAATATTTCTTTTTCTCAAAAATGTGATGAGGCTAAGCATGGTGGCTTGTGTCTGTAATCTCAACACTTTGGGAGGACAAGGTGGGAGAATCACTTGAGGCCAGGAGTTTGAGAACCCACCTGAGCAGCATAGCAAGATCCCATCTCTATAAAAAACAAATATAAAAATTCAGCTAGCATGGTGGTGTGTGCCTGGGAGGCTGAGGTGGGAGAATCACTTAAGCCCAAAAGTCCAAGTGTGCAGTGAGCTATGATCGTTTCACTGCACTTCAGCCTGGGCGACAGAGTGAGATCTTGTCTCTAAAAAAGAAAAAAAAAGTGTTTCTTTCCTGTATCTTCTGCTATTTTAAATTACAAAGAAGTGGCTAGTTCAAAAATGAAGGTCACAAAAACCTTTTAAAGGTCATCTTTAGGTGGGTGATTGGGCTTGTGATGGGCAATTACATACACTGGTCATGGCAGGGTGTGCCCCTCTGGAGCACAATTTGGCATTCTAAATTTTGAGAATTAACTAAGTTCATAATGTTTTATTCAATGATTTTTCTTTTTCTTTTCTTTTCTTTTTTTTTTTTTTGACACGGAGTTTCGCTCTTGTTACCCAGGCTGGAGTGCAATGGCGCGATCTCGGCTCACTGCAACCTCCGCCTCCTGGGTTCAGGCAATTCTCCTGCCTCAGCCTCCTGAGTAGTTGGGATTACAGGCACGCGCCACCATGCCAGGCTAATTTTTTGTATTTTTAGTAGAGACAGGGTTTCACTATGTTGATCAGGATGGTCTCGATCTCTTGACCTTGTGATCCACCAGCCTCGGCCTCCCAAAGTGCTGGGATTACAGGCTTGAGCCACTGTGCCCGGCCTCAAGGATTTTTCTTGAATGAATTTTCCCTTAATAAAAACATAAACGTATTAAGATGAAATTCATGCATAGGGAAGTTGACTCTAGAATTTGGGGGAGCAACATTTGGAAATAGCCAAATGTTCTATAATGTATTGCTCTTGAATTGTGGCACTTTCTTATATGGAAGAGAGTAAGGCTGTTAAAAACAATGTTTTGGGAACTAATAATGAAAAATTAGCAAAATCCCTGTTTTGATAACACTAAAATGTGAATAGCACCCCTCTGTGAGTGGTGGTAGGCTGTCTTTTTTTTCCTTTTTAAACAAAATTTAGTATTAATTCTGAAATAGGCTTCCAAAAGCAAACCAGCAAAAACTAGGACTATAACAAAGATATTCAAATATTCTAATATTAACAATCTTCAGTATGTTTCTGATGGTTTTCATTGTAGAAATAACTCTAAACATCTGGATGGGTCACCAAAAGGTGTTGTGGCCTTAGTTCTACTTTGAAATTAAAGTCCGTTTTTAGAGAAGAAGAATCTCTTAAGTCGATCCCTCACCCTGCCTCCTGCCTTGTCTAGGATCTTCAGCATTAGAAAGATTGCTGGCTGGTTAACACAACACCCAGGGCCCTGGGCAGTTGCTCTGTGGGACCAGCTGGACCTCAAAGCCACTCACCTGGCCTGTCCATGGTGAGCCACATCCTTTGGATTCATCTGGTCCAGCAGGTGCTGCCTTCTCACCGCTTCTTTCTTCCTACAGCACCCCTGAAGAAGGTTGTTTCTGAGGGTCCTGAAGAGAAGCTTTGAATTGTGCTTTGCTGACATCTGCTGAAAAAGCCAACATTTTAAAAAAGTGTCAGATGTGGTCTTTTTTACTTACCTGCATGTGGACAGGCAACCATGAAAGTTTTTTGAATTATTTCTCTTAAGTTCTCGGAAAATAATCTTACCCCTTTCTTATCCCTGAATTTTTTCACATTCTTATATAGCATAATTCTTCAAATTAAATACCCCACACTCCCTCAATAAGTCCTCTTCCTTAGAGTAACCCTAGTCATTTGACATTCTACACCTAGAGGAGGGCATCAAAGACGACCAAGCCTGTGGTTGCTCACATTTGGGGTTGTGGATGCCTTTGAGAATTGGAAGATGACTTGTGGCTTTATCTCCAGCAAAATACTCAGACATTCCATTCTGTATGCAATTTCAGTGGATTCATAGGCCACTTGAAATCTATTCATCAACCCCAAGTTAAGAACCTCTACCAAAAGGAAGCAAAGAAGGAATGAGATGTTTGATTTTAAGGGCTTCAGCACTTAAAATTTAAAGCATAATAAAGCGGCCACATGGTGTCACTCTAACATTAACAAATCCAAGATTTAGCCCCAGGAAAGTAGATCCTAGGCCTGAGAATCTGGATCTGGGTCCACACAGTTTAGTAAGGCAATGCCCACTGGAAAGTATTCGACAAGATTCAGGCACTTGACCTTTGTGTGCCATTCATGTAAAGGAGAGAAGGAGGGAAACTATCCTTGGCGAAGTTAATTAATCAACATCCTTTGCTATTGTGGTATTGGAGGTGGTTGCCATCTGTGTGAAGAAATTTACTCATGGAATTTAGTAATAAAAAGAAAATGTTCTTTCTGGGAACAATTAGAATGCCTTTTCTTAAAATGTACTATGCTATTTCTCTTACAAGGAACTGAATTCGCTTGCTAGGAATTTATAATTTTAAAAAATTTGAAAGGCAGCTGTGAAGTTTTAGTTGTATACTTTTTCAGTCAGCATTGAGATAATTATCTTTCTTTTTTCCTAAAGAAGAAATATTTGAAAGTTAGGGTTCAGGAAAAGACATGTTAAAAAAGAAAAATTCTGCAAAAATATGCCAGTAACTAGGAGTCTTGTGGCATCATTTTTGCCAAATCAGAGCCCTTCTCTTTTCCATCTGTATCCATTTCCAATTCTCTTTCTAACTCTTCACTGACATATTCTAGTCCAGAGTATCTAATCAATTACTTCAGACTCAACTCTGGCCTTTTCTTGTGCCTAAAGCCTTTCATTGAGACATACAATGTGAAGAAAGCATACTTATATTGAGAGAGAGATTCAAGGTGGAGTTTGCCACTTGATTAGTCTTAAATACTGTAACAGATGACAGGAGAAGAATCTGAGGTTTCACTGGAGGGCAAGTTTTTTTTCATGGCTATTGATTATACTGAATTGATTAAACAATAATTTGGTATGCGACATTAAATGTTACCTGAACGCAGTACTCAATGACAGGATGAGACTTCTGATGGGACTTGCTGTGGAGACCGGATAAGAAACACATCTGGCAGATGTCAAAGTTGAGACACTTCAGACAGCAGTACCTGCCAATCAAAATAGAAGCACAGCTTTCGTCACTAGTAGATGAGCAAAAGAAAGAATATCCAGGTAGAGAATGAGCACCCCAAAACACATAGAAGATGTCCGAGCTACCAAATCAGTGTAAAGTTTCTCCCAAATGATAGGATTATCAATGACTCTGAGGCATTTATTTATTCAAATCTTCATTTATTAGAATTTAATATGGCCTTATATTCATGCTATATATGCTATGGTATAGAAGTCTGATTTATTTCCCAAAATACTAAGTGCCCTCCATATGCAGGGTGCCATGTGCTATAACCTTTAGGATAAACCCTTATATCTGCAGCCACATCATGTGCAGCTGCACAATGCACTCAAATACTTTGAATTTGACAGCTAATTAAACAAGCAGATTTCAATAACATCCAATTTTGGCTTCACTTAAACTTTTGCACAATATGATAATATTGGGCCTGCATTCCTGTGTGGTGCTGGGGAAAATTAAGCCATAGACAAATTTAAAAATAAGGATTTGTCATTTTATAGAAGTCTGTATGTAGGAAAGATATAAAGTGGAGGAGGGGAGTTCCTCACCACACCCAAGTTTCTTGACCCATCAACATTGGAGATTTTTTCTTTATGAGAAATGACAACCTTAACTCCCTTTGCAGTCAGAAGGAGAGGAGAGATTCTTGACACACTCTGGTTAGGAGGAGTGTCCCATAATACTCAGGAAACTATTGTGATGTTAGGGGAGAGCTAGTGAGACCTAGAAATCATCAGTAACTTTTAAGTATATTTGAGTGGGACCATGTTGTTTGTCTACAAAATAACAGGGAGCTATACATTTTTTCTCGATACTTAAATTCTCCTCTCTAACTGTAGTGTATATAGTATAAAGCTCCATCTTCATATGGTGACAGCTGGTGAGAACCAGGTGGCAGCTGTTCCTTTTAGACTGGACACATAGTTCTGAGCTAGCCATAGTCCCTACCTGTCCTATTTACTTCATATATACCACTTGCCTTGCCTTTTAAGCATCTGGGTTTTCAACCCCTGTCTTAAAGGTTACAGAAAAGAAATATGACAAGATTCCAGTGCTCTTAAATTTCATATCTTGCTGCAAAACTTTGACATGGAAGGTTGAGGTAACAACTTGCAGAATTAGGCGATGTGTGATTAAGTGCTAAATGAGAGGCGTGGAGAAGCAGGGCTATAGCAGGGAGGCAGAGGGAGAGCCCTATGGGCTGGTGTGGACTGGAAAGTTTTCATGCAAGAAGTGAGACTCATGCTATGCATGGAAGGTGGGCTGGAGATTAAAGCAAAGGAAATCCCAAGTAGAAAGAATCAGAATAATAAGATAACGAAGATTGAGATGAATAAGAAGGGTTTAGAGGACACCAGATCTATCAGACCTGCTAATTGCCCTGAAGAACAGCAGGGAAAAAAACTTGAAAATTTTCTGAGGCCAGATGGCAGAAAGTCTGATGGTCTGATCAAAGTCATTTAGAGGCAGAGCAAGAGAATATAAATGCCTCCAGATCACCCCTCAGCTACCCTTGCTCACTGCTGTACTTCCAACCCAGACTCCCATGGCAGGATATGAAGAAACAGAGTGGGATGACTATAACAGCAGCTAGCATTGTTGTGCCTGTTCTATGTGCAGGCAGTGTACACGTGTTGATGCAGTTAATCCCCATGGAAATTCTTTCAGGTATTCCTACAATTACCCTCATTTTGCAGATGAGGAACCTGAATCAAAGAGAGTTTAAGTCACTTGGACAAAGTTATACAACTACTCAGTAAGTAGTAGAAGATTTTGACTCCCAGGTTACCATCTGAATTGATGGCCTGCCATCTTAACCACTAGAATACATCACCACTCCTCAAGGCAGAGGCTTGAGTTTGAATTCGCATGCCACCATTACTACTCATAGTAGTACTAATAGTTGAAATGGAAACTTAAGCTCACTTAAGTTTAGGAGAATGCCTGGTACACGGTAGGTTTTCAATGAACATTAGTTGAATGAAGTTGGATAAATGACTTAGTTTCTTCAATAAAGGAAAAATGGAGCTAGTAAACCCTATCCTCTTGGCCTTGTAAAATTTTTAGAAAGTTTTAAAAATTGTTCAACATACATAAATGGGAAGACGTTAACTTTTTCAATGAAATGTACAACATAATAAACAATATTTTTAAGGAATATTTGATGAGCCATCCATGCTGGCTGCTTTATCAAGCATTAACTAGATGGCTGTGATTGACTTGTCTAGGGTAATATGCTGCTCTATCCTTAAATTTGTTCATCAGTGCTCTGAAACTACCTACCAGTATACGAGAATGGTTATTGTGTGGGTAATGAGATCGGTGTTTTTACCAATATAGAGCCCAGGTTTTCCCCCAATTTCATCTCAACCTTCCATGGCTATCACAGAGCAAAAATGTGACATGTCCTTCTACAAATTCAATCTCGGATTAGGGCTGCTCTGTGGTCTTTGCACCTTCTCTTTCTTTACAAGGCCGAATCTTTGTCCTCTTCCTGTTACCTGCAGATCTGCAAATGCTTCTGCTCTAACATGGCTTTCTTCATCTCCCAAAAACCCAAAGCTACTGTTGAGTTTTCTGAGATTCCAAAACACAAGTTTAAAGTTAGTTTTATTATATATCCGGGCAATTTTTAATAGAATCAGAAGTCTCAGACATCATTTTATATAGCCTGCTGTATTTTAAACACACACACACACACACACACACAACTTGAGGTCCAGAGAGGTAAAAAGCCTTGCCCAAGTCTCCCAGCTCTTTGTATATTGACACCTGTTTATTGCCTTGGGTGTCTAGGAGGGAATGTGGTTTACATGGAGGCATTTCAAAGAAATCCTGTTCTCATTCTCAACAGACGGTTAATTACAGCATTTCTTGCCCTCTGCCTTTGCCGTTTTTATGGGTGACTTAAGTAAGTCACTCAAACTCTTTGAGACTCAATTTTGTCATCTGTAGAATAGAAATAGTATCTGCTTTAGGTTAACATAATAATTTTGAAAGAAATTGCCATGTAAAAGTTGTGTTTAATAAAATTGCAAAGTTAATCCTGTTCCTGACCTAGGGCAGGACTTGTAGTTACTCCTTAACTAACACTGGCTTGTTGGTTAAACAATCATAATGTACTCATAACATGGTAAATCATATTCCAATTTCCCCATTGTCCAGCATAAATAATTTATGTTTCATTGTAGTATGAAGATTTCCTTGTTCCTCCTTGCTTGGTTTCCAATAGTCCTGTCCTTTTATATGTTTTATTGTTTAAAGTTCAGTTACTTGGTAGAATTTACATGACTGAAGTTTCACTATGTCCTGCAAATTCTCTGCAAACCCAATTCATTTTCTTGGCAAAATTAAAACGAGATCTCTGGTTTCTTGGTACTAAACAGACCTATTTTGTCTCCATGGGGAGCATATTTCAGTTCTGCCTTAGCTAGGGTCAGGAAGCATGGAAAAGGAAGAAGAACAAAGTGAGCAGGAGCTGGGGCCTGAGGCCTCTTGTCCCCTTCTCCTTCTGGGCACCCCCAGCTTTGCCCTGTTTTCAGCTGCCTGAAGTTCCAGAGCTTTAGTACTTCCACACCCCTAGCCCCTGTTCACTCATCGTGAATAATAGCATCTTTTATACCTGGCCTATACCTGGTAGTTTCTTTCTCTTCTTCCAAGCTATTAATGATAACTCTAATTTTACTGGATGGGATTTGATTGTATCCTCAAAGCTATGGAAATATTTGAATCTCACCCCCAAATCTAGCTCTCGAATCTGTCCTTTGCTCCAGGTAGAGAGAAGATCTGGGCTGAGTTGCTCTCATTCATGCTGATCATCCCCGTGAGTCTGAGACTCGTTTGCAGTTGTATGCACAGGGAGGCAGTAGAGCATCATGGCTGCAAGGCAGGGACTCTGGATTTAGGCCACCAGCCTCTGCTGCTTGCTAGTCATGTAAGTTATTTCACTTCTCTGCAAATTGGGGAGAATAATACAACCCTTTGCATAGGCTTACAATATATTTTAAATAAAATGACCCATGTGAACTGCTCAGCTTGGCATTTGTCTAACACCTAACAAAATTAGCATCGTTAGGATGATGATGATGTTGGATGAATGGTTCCAAAATACTTAAAAGTTGTTTTTGGAACAAAAGACAGCCCAGATGCATTGGCCCATACTTGTAATCCAGTGCTTTGGAAGGCTGAAGCAGGAGGATCAGTTAAGATCAGGAGTTGGAGACCAGCCTGGGCAACATAATAAGATCTCATCTCTACAAAAAAATGGAAAGTTAGCTGGGCATGGTGGCATGCACCTGTACTCCCAGCTACCCAGGAGGCTGAAGTGGGAGGATGACTTGAGCTTAGGAGTTTGAAGCTGCAGTGAGCAATGATAGTGCCACTGCACTCTAACCTGGGTGAAAGATAGAGACCCTGTCCCCACCCCCCAAAAAAGGCAAAATTTATTCCCCTTAGAGGAATAAAAATGTCTATTAGTCACAGTATGCATCAGTGGAAGAATTTAATATTTCAACCATTATAGAAGATAAAAGACAATTTATTATTAACCGGGAAGCCTCTTGCCAAGAAATCATTGAGCCAAAAAGTCAACTGAATTCCAGATGTGTGAAGAGGACCCCAAAAAGAATCTGAAGGCATGCAGCGCCAACTGTAGAACCAACTGGAGAATGGTAATCCGAGCAATGCTGCTGGTGACCATACCTGAGTCCTCTGATCGGGAAAGTCCTGCAGACCATACACTGAGCAGGGTGAGTGACCCTGTCAGCAGCTGATAACCGGTGACAGGTCGGGAGCCACAGGAGGATGGGAGGCTCAGATTGCACCCAAGACAGGAATTTCTCTTCTTTGATTGCTGGGCTCAACACCTGAAAAACAATGACACCCTAATATGTGTTTTTAGGCATGACTTGGTATTCTCATTTTCTTTTCTGACACTAATTCTGTCAGCTCTGCTGAAGAGGTTTATCGTATGAAAAGCTGGAGGTGAGACTATCTCCTAAATTCAGTTATCTGGGATACTTTGTGGAGGAATAATAGGTCTGTAATTTAAATCAGTGAGCAAACTATCCCAATTCACTGTGTCTGTCCCCAACTCCAGGGACTTTTGCAAGGCACTCACCCCTTGGAAACAGCTGCGGGTGGCACTCTCCACAGAGCAAAGAGCACGACTCTCTCCCACGACAGTTGGGATCTGCAAGAGACAACCTCATCTCAGCTGTTAGAAAGTGGAGAAATATGTGGGCTCCGGGAGCAGCAGGCCCGAGAGCTGGTGCCCACAACCATGCAGTCCTAAGAGTCTGGTATCTGAGACCAGGTGAACTGTCTCAATCCAAGAGAACAAAAGCAATGTGTGGGTTTTGTATGCTGTTTGCATTAAGACAATGAATAAGCAAGTGGGAAGAAGAGGAGAGAAGAGGGTAAAGGAAGGAAGTCTGCCAATGGGGTGATAAACTGCTTCCTTCTGTTTTACCTCTTGTGATACCAAATTATTTTAACCTTTATTTACGCCTTTGTTCACCTGTGAAATGCATATCATAATAATACTGTCTTAAAGTTTAGAGTTTTAAAGTATACATACTTCTTTTTTTAATGTTAAGTTCTGGGATACATGTGCAGAACATGCAGGTTTGTTACATAGGCATACATGTGCCATGGTGGTTTGCTGCACCTATCAACCTGTCATCTAGGTTTTAAGCCCTGCATGCATTTGGTACTTGTCCTAATGCTCTCCCTTCTCTTGCCCCCCACCCCCCAAGAGGCCCCAGTGTGTGATGTTCCCCTCCCAGTGTCCATGTGTTCTCATTGTTCAGCTCCCACTTATGAGTTAGAACATGTGGTGTTTGGTTTTCTGTTCCTGTGTTAGTTTGCTGAGAATGATGCCTTCCAGCTTCATCCATGTCCCAGCAAAGGACATGAACTCATTCATTTTTACAGCCGCATAGTATTCCATGGTATATATGTGCCACATTTTCTTTATCCAGTCTATCACTAATGGGCATTTGGGTTGGTTCCAAGTCTTTGGTATTGTATATATACATATTTCTTAAGACTAGTCAAGTACAGTAGTGAGAAGTGGGAAAGAGTAGATCCAGGAGTTCAATCTGTAACTGACTGTAAACCATCTATTGAGATAACTCGCTACCTTTGGACAAGCCTAGAGTAGCTTTGAGAAAAACCTTTCTAAACACTTTCATATCATATCATTTTAAGAAACACCCATCTCTGAGGTAGGGTGGTAATCACTACCCTTCTTTAAAGCAAGGGATGAAAGGAAAGGGAATCAGTCTGTCAAAGAGACATCTGCACTCCCATGTTCACTGCAGCACTCTTCATAACAGCCAGGTTTCTGGAACGATCTAAGTGTTCATTGACAGATGAATGGAATAAAAAAATGTGGCATGTAATATACAATGGAATAGTACTCAGACTTAGGAAAGAAGGGGATCCTGTCATTTGCAACACCATGAATAAACCTGGAGGACAATATGCTAAATGAAATAAGCCAGGCACAGAAAGGCAAATACTGCATGATCACACTTACATGTGGAATCTAAAAACAATGAATTCATAGAGACAGAGAAAAGAATAGTGGATGCCAGGGTGGATAAAGATAAAGGAGAATATGTTGATTAAAGGGTAGAAACTTTGATAAGATAAGTAAATTCGGACTGGGCACAATGGCTCATGCCTGTAATCTGAGCACTTTAGGAGGCTGAGATGGGTGGATCACAAGGTCAAGAGATCAAGACCATCCTGGCCAACATGGCTGTAGAGCCAGGCTCCATCTCAAAAAAAAAAGATGAATAAATTCGGGGGATGTAATTGCAGCATGGCAACTAGTAATAGTACTGGTGAAACCCCATCTTTACTAAATATACTAAAACTAGCCAGGCGTGGTGCCAGGTGCCTATAATCCCAGGTACTCAGGAGGCTGAGGCAGGAGAATTGCTTGAACCTGGGAGGTGGAGGTTGCAGTGAGCCGAGTTTGTGCAACTGCACTCCAAACTAGGTGACAAGAGCAAAACTCTGTCTCAAAAAAAAGGGTTTTTTTTTTCCACATTTTCCAGTATTGTTTACTTGAAAATAGATAAAAGAGCAGATTTGAAGTGTCCTCAAACCTCTCATCCCACAAGATGGTAATGATGATGGTGACAGATGGGTTAATTCATTTGACTGTGGTAGTCATTACACAGTGTATATGTATCTCAAAACATCAAGTTGTATACCTTGAATACATACAGTTTCTGATTATCAATTAAATATTTTTCAAAAATAAAGCAATTTATTTGAGTAATTGAGATTTGATATTTTGCTAATGCCAAAAAAGCAATTTAGCAGCAGAATGGGGGTCTCACTCCAGGACTCTGACTCTTTCTTGAGGAGTTTTCATAAAGCTTTGTCACAGCCAACCTTACTACATACATTCCAACGGCTCAATCTGTGCCACCACACTCAGTGGTTTCCACCTTTCTACCACAGTCACCATAAGGCGTTCAATGAAGGCACTAAGAACCTTTTGTGACTGCCAAGATGGCCAGGGACTTGGCTCTGACATCATCTATATGCACAGATACATGTACCTGTCACCTCCATTTATTCCCATTTGGTCACAAGTCCTAATTTCACATCTGATGTCTTCTACAGCACAGGCTGTCAGCAGGCATTGCCTGCAAGCTCAGAAGTAATCTCAGAGACCCTCCTGCTGAGTCCATCAACTCGAATAAACGTTCTTCTAATCAGGAAAGTGGCACTCAGAACCTCTTTGCTGACAATTAGCCAGGCAGAAGTCAACAAACATTTGCGTAATAGTGACAAGATGGCTTGTACTTTAAATTGATAATCCTGTCACCAGTCAAATGTAAGTAACTACTTCCTATGTTATTTAGCCTTTGTCTGAAAACGTAACTCATTACCCATGGTTTGGCTTGTGAATGCTGATGAACTAACTGAACCACTTATTTAGACTGTGATGCTGATTCAACATTCACCCTCCTCTGATGTCCTTGAGCCCTGGGAAAGGAGTTTTACTTCATTTGTGAAATAAGATGGGTGGATAATGTAGAATGACTCTCAACAGCTCTGTGATTCTAACCTAGTACAAAGAAAATTCACTTCTGTGGTGGGTTTCAACCTACATTTTTGCCTGTCAGGGTGTGCATAAAAATTTTGCAGATGAATGGCCCAAGTGACTAATTTCTTGCAGGTGTTCTCGGAAGAATTAAACATGGCTAGATGGCACACCGCACAGGCAGACACCACTTGAAATGATAATTACGATGCTTAGGGGAGGATTTGAATCATGTGGTGAGGCCTGGAATTTTCTCTGGGAATCTATTTCTGAGTTCATAATAGCAGTCAATGGGATGATAATTTCTGTGCAAATCTCTGCCTTCCTAAGACCTTCTCAGGAGCATACTAATACCTGGGGTGCAGGTAGGGGCAGAATGCTCCGTGTCCTAGAGATTTTTATTACCTTCCTCCTTATCCCTCCCCACTCCCATCATGACTATCCTCAGTTCAGAATCCTTGGTCCAGACCCAGGAGAAAAATGACAGAAAGTTCCTAGGTCTTTACAGTACAAAACATCTACTTGGGGATTTTGTAGGAGCTGGAAGAATGGAGACATCCTTCAAAACAAGGGTAAGGGTACAATAGGACAACAGCACCTGCACACAAGATAATCCAGAGCCTATTTAATCCATTCGCAAAAGTTCTTGCTTGGTTACATCAATTTATGTCATTTTAACATTAAAAAAAAAAACTTTAAGGAGGTTAAATTCCCTTGCCTAGTAAGAATAAAAACAAAATCAAATCAACGCATTCTTAAAGCACAGGAAATGATCTGAGTACTCAGCATGGCACTCCATCTATGCATTCTTTAAGTATTTTTTGGAGGTCTTTTTGTATGAGACACTGTTCAAGGCACTGGAGACATAAAGATGAAATAGTCCCATGGGGAAGCATCTGCTCCAATTTGACAAGTGCTGCAACGAGGTTATGCATAGGAAGTCAAGGAAGCTTTGAGCAAGGAGGTGACAAATGATTGAGTAATACTGAAAGATGAGTAGTGTTTGTCAAGTGAAAGGAAAGGCAATGGCCTTGTAGATAGATGGAAATGCAGAAGTCAGGCATGGAGAACTCGGTGCAGGTCAGGCACAGTATTTTAACATGTAGGAGTGAAAAAGGTATAAGGAGTGTAAGGAAAATTATACACTTTGGAATAAGCAAAAGAGACCTCTGGATACGTTTTCAGTGGTGATTATCTGTACCTATAGAGAAATACATCATCGTCTTTGCCAGGCTATCTTACAACTCTATAGAGAGTAAACGAACAGTAAACTTACAGCAATGCAAATAATTCTTACCTATAGGCTCCAATAACTTTAGCCTCATGAGTGTGAGTATAACTCATAACCTTCTACTCACAACCTTATGAGTGTAAGTTAAGTTATACTCAAGTAACAGCAGTGGCTATGGAGGAGGGAGCTTGCCTGGGATCAATATAAAGGTAAAATGGACACTGGAGACATCAGATTCTTTAATAATAAATGTGGCTAATTAACTGAAACAAAAGTACAGTTCTTAAGCATTAGGGATTTACCTGCTGCAGATCTGTTAGTAGTTTTCTCAAAACTCTTCGAGTCATGCGTGCCCCAGAATCATAACCTCCCCTGCTATTTTCTGCATAGAGCTGAAAAAGAGCTAGACATGTAGGAGGAAAAATCTTTAAATTGAATACTTGCAATGTATCTTTGAAGAGTACTTGCTTTGAGGTAACAGTCTCTTTGTGGCTCCAAAGGGAAAGAGAAGGGAAAGTTACGTTCTTGATTATTGGCTCACTATTTTGAAGGCCTTCCAAACTATGTTTTTTATAATAACCATAATTTGATAACTAACGAAAAACCATTCACATTTCAACCCCTTGATCATTCAGTGCATCTATGATGAAGATCATGAGGTTGGTAAAAGGAAATGTGAGGATCCTCCCTGTCTTCAAACCAATAATTATTATGGGTGTCTAGATAATCCCTAAATAAATAAATACCAAGAACAACCAAGGGCCAGACGCGGTGGCTCACGCCTATAATCCCAGCACTTTGGGAGGCCGAGGCGGGTGGATCATGAGGTCAAAGAAATTGAGACCGGCCGGGCGCGGTGGCTCAAGCCTGTAATCCCAGCACTTTGGGAGGCCGAGGGGGGTGGATCACGAGGTCAAGAAATCGAGCCCATCCTGGCCAACATGGTGAAACCCCGTCTCTACTAAAAATACAAAAAATTAGCTGGGCATGGTGGCGCGTGCCTGTAATCCCAGCTACTCAGGAGGCTGAGGCAGGAGAATTGCCTGAACCCAGGAGGCAGAGGTTGCGATGAGCCGAGATCGCGCCATTGCACACCAGCCTGGGTAACAAGAGCGAAACTCCATCACACACACACAAAAAAGAGAGATTGAGACCATCCTGGTCAACATGGTGAAACCCCGTCTCTACTAAAAATACAAAAATTAGCTGGGCATGGTGGCGCACGCCTGTAGTCCCAGCTACTCGGGAGGCTGAGGCAGGAGAATTGCTTGAACCCAGGAGGCGAAGGTTGCGATGAGCCGAGATTGCGCCATTGCACTCCAGCCTGGGTAACAAGAGCAAAACTCCGTCTCAAAAAAAAAAAAAAAAAAAAAGAACAACCAAGAAACAATTAGGAAGTGTAAATTTCAAAAAAATTCCAAATTCTTCAAATCTTAAATATTTTTCTTCAATAAACACACAAGTCATGCTGAATACATGCTGAAAAAGAAGGCCTTGTGGCGGGGACATAGATTACAGGTTGGGGATTTGAAGCTCACTGAACTTTGGACACGCGTAGTCCTCTGTGTGTTACCTCGGTATTTTGTAAGAGGGCTGTCTCCTGAGAGGGTTATTAGGGCAGCGGCCGCAGGCATAAGCTGGAGAAAACCTGTTTCTGTGCTGCACGGTGACAAAATACAGAGACAAGAATGAAAAGGTCAGCAGTACCTTCGGTGTCATGGATTATAAAAACCATAACTACTAATGGGCATTGCTGATATGGTGTTATAAGTTCTAGCTTTTCATGGCCTCTTATCCTACACCTAGAATTCAGCAGAACAGAGCACTGAATTAACATATTTCACCCGTCATTTATTTGTTCATTCAGTCATTCCAAAATTTGTATTGGATGCCTCCTCTGTGCTAAACCCTGTGCCAGGCACCAGGGATGTAGGGGTATACCCTGTCTTCGTTGAGCAGGTAGCATCACTTCCTCAGGCCTCAGTTGCCTGGAAACCAAGCAACAGAGACAAGGGAGGACCAAAAGGCAGCAAAGGAGCAAATATTTATGCAAGAGAAAAAGCTAGTTCACAAGCTCTCAGAGCCTAATCATCCTTGCCCACTTGCTGTCTAGTTTACAAACCTACTAAACAATTTATCGAAGGCAGTGAGATTGTTGGAGACAGGCACAGATAATAGAAATGACAATCAGGCTGGACGTGGTAGCTCATGCCTGAAATCTAAGCACTTTGGGAAGCTGAGGAAGGCAGATCACTTGAGGTTGAGAGATCGAGACCATCCTGGCCAACATGGTGAAACCCCTGTCTCTACTAAAAATACAAAAATTCACGGGTCTGATTTCATGTGCCTGTAATCCCAGCTGCTCAGGAGGTTGAGGCAGGAGAATTGCTTGAACCCACAAGGCAGAGGTTGCAGTGAGCCGAAATCACAGCCACTGCACTCTAGCCTGGCAGCACAGCGAGATAACGTCTCAAAAAAAAGAAAGAAAAGAAATGACAGTCAAAACTTAATGTTTATGGAAGGTGAAATGAAAAAATAACTTGAGAATGGGTTTATATATTATTTGGGCAGTTAAAAAAAATTAAAAAGAAAACTAGAAAAGAAAATAACCATAAGGAATTTGCCCAGTGGTTAAAATGGTGCTTGCCTCTGGGAGGCAGGCTGATGGGTAACAATGTATTTCTTTTTCTTTACTTTTTTCCTCTACTTTTCCAAATGTTTTGAATTCACTATGATTTTTGTAAAGTTTATTCTAAAGGAAAAAGTCCACTGAGTTGAGGATACGTAAGGTAAACCAAACTGAGGAGGGGGCAGAGGAACTGAAATCTTACAGTTTAAAAAACACACCCACCCCTACCACACACTAGCAGAACTATTGACTTGAAAGCATATGTAATTGGCCCTTTGACATAGTCTAAACTGGTTTATAGGTTACCCATCCATGCACAGGATTTTCAAACTTATTCTAGCGAAAAAAAAAAAAAAGAAAGAAAGAAAGAAAGAAAGAAAGAAAGAAAGAAAGAAAGAAAGAATTGATTATCATTTACAAAGAAATAAGCAAAGAAGCTAGCAGTAGTAACAAGAGCAGAGTGTCGTTTCTCGCATATGTATAGAATCATAAACGCCCTAGCAAGAGGTGTGTATGCTTCTCTAGAGTAGGAATGAATTTGTATAAAGGAAAGAATAATGTGGCATTTCCCCCCCTTTTTGCTATCCACGGGTCATTTATATTCGTAAAACTGAATAGGCATTTACTCCTGTGTTCCACTCCTGAGGAATAAATTTGTGAAAAAGAAACAAAGGCTTCTTATATGCCAAACCTCAAGCAAATATTAGACAGCATCAAATGGCAAATGACCACTGGCCACTAACGTCACAGCGCGACGTCCACACCCTCACCTGTTGTATATTGTTGTGAGAAGGCTCAGAGTGAGTTCCGAAGCTCTGGGATGTACCTGTCCGGGGTTTTCCTCCCTGGCCTTCTGAAACAGCTCTTGGAGTGCCTGAGAAAGCTGCTGCACAGAAAGGGAACACTTGCGAGCTTCCCAGAAACTTGGATGCAGTAGGACCTGCTGAATCAGGGAGCTGTCAATCAAGTCCACTGTAGGAAGCAAATGAAGAATTGAGCCTTATTTTCTGATGGGAACAAAAGGCTTCAAATGAAGCAAATGTCACTTAGTGTTTTATAATTAAGACTGCCTTTTTATAGTAGTTATTTTCTTTTATGGGGAATGAAGTATGACCATTATTTGGACATATATTCCTTGTGTACAATTCAGGCGTTACTATTCTAGCTATCCATTTGATTTTGGAAAAGTGCATCTGTTAGTAAAGCATAGTTATAACATTATTACCACTACAGTTTCTAGTATGTTGTGTTACAGAAAGAAGTTAAAAAGGGAAGTGAGAAATGAAAAATAAGCTTTCCAAGAAAGTTATGACACTGTGGTAAAAAGTTGGGGAAAACATTTTTATACTCTTCATTAAGTGGATTGAATAAATTTACCTTTCATGTTTAAATACAGTTTTTCTTGCCTGCAGCCCAGCATCAGAAGCAATATGGTGTGTTAAAAAGCAATTGCCATAGTTAAATAAAAAACAGTGATCTTTGTAAAAGAGCAGTTACTCTTCTATAAAGATCTTTAGGCTAAAGAGTCTGAGAATTTAGCAACTTAGTAATATCACTTTTTAAAAGCTTGGTCCCATTGGCATTATAATCTAGAGAGGACACTTAATAAAACTAGAGCTGCTTACAAAAAATGATGCTTTATTTCTTATACTGAATATTTTTAACCACCTTCTCCTAAAATTTTTACAAGGCAATGAATAGAAACAAGAATGTAATAGAGGTAACCCCATAGCTTCTTGCAGAGAGAGGATGACAGACAAAATTAATAAACAGCCACTTGCACCATCTGAGAGGTGAGGATGTCAAGAATGCCAAGAGCTCCTGGCATTTAAAACTCTTCAGCCTGTGAAACCATAAAACCCTGGGTTTCTCTCTACTTCATAAATCAACCTCAGATAAGAAATCTAGCAAGTATAATAAAAATTTTTATTTGTTCTCTGATATTGCTTTTAAGGAGAGAGCCTAAGGAACAGCGGAGCAAGTTTCAGGGATGTGACTTAAATAAGAACCTGGCTGCAGGTGGTGAAGGCTGTAAACTATTTTATCATTAAAACCTGTCACCTCGGCCACACATTCTGAACACAGGCCGATTTCATCTCCTGCTGAGAGTCTATATTACACCAAACCAGATAATAGCAGTGTCCATTAATCTCACCACAAGATTTGTACAGCGATGTGTTCCAGATCTTGCTATTTGGAGCTTGTTATGCTTTATCTCAGTGTTTGGGACTTTTCTGTGTTAAATTTTTGTTTGGTTATCTTTTCTCGGTGACATTTTTCAACCATGGATTTTGTGTATTGTTAATGTTTCCCATGAGTATTATTTATATTCACTGTTCCTGATGCCAGAGATAACAAAAAGTTCAAAAATGTGCATCCTCAAATTACACTCTGGTACATACTTAGGCATTCATCATGGGAACATGGGAAAAATAGCTGATAACTTTCTTTAATGGGAGAAATTCTCCAGCAAAATAGCATCATTGGGAGTAAATTTTTAGCCTTTCATTTGTTCCTGGAATAATAAATAATACAATGCTTATACGTGAGTTTATCTAGAGAAGTAAGCTACATAAAATTGTTTTTAAAACCAAAAATTTATTTTTCAAAGCAACCTGATACAGAAACATGGTATGAGGCTGGGTATGGTGGCTGACACCTATAATCCTGTCACTTTGGGAGGCCAAAGTGGATGGATCAGTTAAGCTCAGGAGTTCAAGACCAGCCTCGGCAACATGGCGAAACCCTGTCTCTACTAAAAATAGAAAAAATTGTCAGGGTGTGGTGGCTCGCACCTGTGGTCCCAGCTACTAGGGAGGTTGAGATGGCAGGATGGTTTCAGCCTTCAGCCTGGGAGGCAGATGTTGCAGTGAGCTGAGATCCCACCACTGCACTCCAGCCTGGGTGACAAAGTGAGACCCCAACTCACACACATACACACACACAAGGAAACACAGTATGGAAAATAGAGAAGGATGGAGTTGTTCCTATTGAGGATATGGTCTTTGAATCTTCCCGCCTTGCCTGCACCTCCTCTTCCGACCTGGCTAACTCCTTTGTGCTCTACCCTACATCCACATATACTTTGTGAAACCCAATTTGAAAACCACTGCCCTATATAACTTTTTAGGCAGGAGGAAAAATATTTTAAAATGTCAGCCTTCAATAGAAATGTCATATATATAACATAACTTCTTTTAGATCTGATATGATAAATTTCAGAAATCATTTTACATGAAGTGATTTTTCTTTAGTGCAATGAGAAATCAATAACTTTAGATATGCTTAATATCTGGTGTTTTTCATAGCTCAGACCCAGTTTATTTCACCTTGGAAATTTTTCACAGAATAAATGTTTTTACCATACTTTGCCTAGATAACAGTATGAGAAAAGAAAAGAAAACCATACATTCAATCAGATATAAATTTAATGCAAAAGGCACAGTTCTCAGGGAACTCTTGAGATTGTTAAAATTCACTGACCTTGGGTTATTTATTCATTTGCACCTACTTTTACATGTTCATATATAGATTATAGGTACAACCTGAAAACACAAATCTTAGGTGGTAGATGAAATTTTATATTCTTAAACTTAAATCTATGGGTACAGATTTGAAATTACTTTTTTCTGTAATTTTATTTTGTGTCCATATTGGTATCCTGAAAAGAAAACCAAAAACATTTTCTAGAAGAAACCAAGTGGAAAAAATATTTTAAAAATTAAAAGTCCACAATTATTTTCTATCACTCATCAAAAAACTATACATGGTTTGAATGCACATGATGTCTTTCCATCCCTCCATCTTCTCTGTCACGAATGAGCTAAATGCACAAGTCCAGACTTCCAGAATCCAGCAGTCAGCTGCATGGAGGAGTGTTTGTTTTCTCTGTGAATTTTACATCACACATCAAGCTCAGATTATTTCAAACATTTCAGGAGAGCCTATACTTACATTGGCACAGAGTTTGCACTGATCGTAATTTGAAGGCTGTTCTATAAATGGAATTCTCAATACTATTAAGAGCATCTGTAAAGAAAACATAAAATATTATGAATAAAGTACTGTCTCGTTATATAAATCCCACATCCTGGAAGGAAATCCTAGAGATCATGTAACCTTACTTTATTTTGCACGTGAGGAAATTAAGGTTTAGAGTTCCCTTTTTCTTTCTGTAAATAAATAATAATAGATTTTTCTAGGGCTACAGGTGAACCAAGTTTACCTTCTCAGTCCACCAAAATGTGAGGAATACTCCATCTGTCAACTTGTTATATAAAATGTCAATGGCCTTTGAAATAAACAGGATTAAAAAAAACTATGTAGAATATAAATTCAAGTTTGCAAATACATTCTAGTTATATGTGAACACATGTATTTATGCATAAATGAAAAAGACCCCAAAACTATCCATCTACTCTTACCTTTAGCCAATATTTATTGAGCCCTTCTGTATGGCCCTGGCATGATTCTAGGCCTCTTGAAATATAGCATTCAGCCAAACAGATGAAGTTGGCCACTCTCGTGAAGCTTAACTTCTAGTACCATCTACCAAAAATTGTTAACAGTGAATATCTTTGGGTGCTTGAATTATTAGTGTTCATGGTTATTTTCTCGCTACTCAATATTACCTAAGTTTTCTATAAAAATTATGTTATTTTTATAATCATAAAAATAATTATTAATATACCTTCTTTAGAGAATTGCAACCACCAATAGCAGCGCAACAGTAGCGAGCATTCCTGAATGCTTCTAGGCACTGAGTGTGCGTTTGCCCATTTCACAGTGCAGGGGAGAGTAGCATGCTCTGGAGCCAGCCATACTTCGTTCTATTCCTTTTTCCTTAAAACTAGTTACTTTTGATCTTCAGTTTCTTCATCAAGATAAATGGGAATTATAATACATTCCTCAAAGGGTATTTGCACATTTTAAATAAGAAAATGTAGGCAATATATTTCCTAAATTATCTTACTTCCCTTAAGGACCCATGATTTTAAATTTTTTCCATTGATCCTCCAAATCTGATTTTTTTTAACTTAAGAGACTATTACAACATTACAACAGAGCTTTTCATTGCTTAAGACTGAAATGATCAGTCTTCATATCTAGAAAAAACAAAAACTACACAGTAGATCTCCCCATTTAGTGATATAATCTTTAATGCTATTCAATAAAGCTATATAAGATCATACACATTAATAGCTTGGTTTGTTTTAGGCAGTTAAAATGACCTGTTCTAATCTATTATTATTGGTATAAAGCAGTGGACCTTAAAGTATGGCTCCTGGACCAGCAGTAGCAGCAACATCGCCTGGGAACTTGGGAGAAAAACCATTTCTAACAAAACTCTAAGAAGTCTTCGATGCTAGGATCTAGGGGTGAGAATCTAGGGGGCAACCTGAGTCTTAGCAGGCCCAGGGGTAAATCTGATGCAAAGGAAAGTTTGAAAACTACGGATATAAAGGGAATTTATTGCTTCTGCTTTTTATGACTAGTTTGATTATTGGAGGTCTTTGTGACAGCAGTTTCAGTGGAGTCATGGGGGGTCAAGATCAAATTGCAGAGGAGTGAGCACTGAGTATAAGGTGAGGAGAAACATAAAACCAGACAACTTTTTCAAGATTTTTAATGTGAAGGGAAGACAAGAGAGCCACAGCTAGAACAACACATAAAATCAAAATTGGTTTTCAAAGGCAGGGGCGATTCCAGAATCCACCCAGCATCTATTTTTTTTTCTTCAGGTGAACCACCTTCCCTAATCTGAGTCCATGAAATTTCAGTAGTGTCAACTGCAACTCTCCCACTTCCATGGAGGCAAGTGGCCAAGGCCCGGCCCATTAGTGAGAGCACCATCACACTCTCCAGAGGGGGGCCCATACCAAAGTCAGGCAAGTAATGGGCCAATGAAACTGGGTTCAAGGACTCTTGGTTCAAGTTATCAGGGAAGCAGATTTTTTTTCTGGACTTGAATTTGGAATTGTAGATTGGAGCAGCAATCACTCTCTTGTCAGGTTGTGTAGCTTGAGAATGAAATCAATGCACAAGGGTGAGCAGAGATAAACTTAGGGATGGAGAGAAATCACTTCCTGGTGACAATGTCCCAGCCCAGGAAAGCTAGTCCTGCCGAGGGTTATTTGATTTATTTTCATTTGTTTTAATTGACAAATATTGCATATATTTATTGTGTACAACATGCTTTAAAATATATATGACTTGTGGAATGGCTACATCGAACTAATTAACATATACATTATCTCACATATTTATTTTTGGTGGTAAGAATCCTTAAAATCTATTCTCTTAGCAATTTTCAAGATATAATACATTGTTATTAACTATAGTCACCATGCTGTACAGTAGATCTCTTGATTGGGTTATTAATTTTATGAGGTAACAGCGTTTTTGAGGCAAATTTTCTGCCGCAATCACTGAAATATGGCTAACTGCTCCAATCGCTGCAGTAGAGAGAGGGAGGAAAACGTACAGGCGAAGGAATAAGCTTTGGTAAGAAGCCATCTCTTATTCCCTGAGAGGAAGCATAAAAGAAGATGATGATAGGGCTGGGGAAATGGCCTGAAAGCTTCTGTTTTCTTTGTAAAGTTGAGGGCATGTTCATGCACTTAGAGTTAGGAGGAGGTGGTGGAGTAGAAAACTTGAGGAATGGTGAAGATTTGGACTGGTTATAGTGAAGAGTGAAAGAAGAAACCAGTCATAAACTTTGGAAAAGAACTGCCAAGCCCCAGTGCATCTCCAGTATTTCCTGTGATAACAAGTTCCAATTAAACAGGGTTTACACCCAGAACCGCTCATGCTGAGGCAAGGATTTCACACACAAGCAAGTTCTGAGGCCAAGACTTCCTTGTACTTATGAGGCCCAGAGGAAGAAGCCTTGAGGAAAATGAAGCAACTTTCAAATGTAATGTCAGCTTATTCACAAAAAACTCAGGCAATGAGGAGTTAGGCTGTGCTGGGGAGTTTTGTGACTAGAAACACAGCCGGGTCTCCAGTCTTGGAACAGGCCCTGAGCAAAAACGAAACAAGCAACTGCTTGGTGTCTTTCTTTGATTCGAACTTACGTGGCAAGACAATTTGCTGGTGACATTCAGTTTTGTCTTGTTCTTGCAGCAAGGGGAGAATTTAAAGAATGGAAAGGCAATGTGCCTGTGCCCATCCTGTAAGTCTAAGCTGTTTTCACTCCTTTGGGACATCTCACAGTGTCTTTGTGTTTAAGTGCCACTGTTGAAATCAAGTCAACTCAGGCCTTTTTATGAAAGTGTGGACAGGCCCATGAAAGAATTAATCTGGAATTTTTCTGGAGGTGGGGAGAGGCAGATGCCTGGATGGGAAGTTGGAAGATGTCTTACTGGGGGGTGTTTCCAGGGCTGCCCTTACTAGCAGACCCCTGAGTGGAGGAGTGGCTGCATGGTATAGCCAGGGAGATCAGCTACAGGTGTGACAAGGACTTCTGTGTCCGGTCTTGACATGGAGTCCCATGTCTTCAAGTGGAACTCAAAGCCAGAAGCAGAGAGCATCACAAGTGGTGGTCACAGTGGACTTCAGTCAGGGCCTTGACCAGAGATTCAAGGTAGCAGCCTTAGAGCTTTCTGTTTATCTCCCAGGGATGGTTCCCTCCCAAACTTAACTCAGCCTAAATTTTGTATCAAGGCACAGAGACTTGATTTTGATATGAGAAATGATGTTTCTTGCCCTTGAGTGTTGTGGGGTAAAGTCCTAGCTGTTACACATAAGATACTGAGTACTAAGCACTCTGTAGAGCCACAGAGGGGGTTACAGCGCTGAACCAGGACAGAGCCATCCTGAAGGAGTACAAGCATGCTACAGGCCTCTCTCTGAATGTATACTGATCAACAATCAGCATATGATCATGATTTGATTTAAAAATGTTTAGTTTTCAGACAAGATGCCAATGTTAGAGAATGGGAGATGTCAGAAACACCTCTGTCCTATGTCTGGAGAAGGGAAACAAATTGAGAGTAGGCATAATAGGGTGGAAATAATTTACAACAGTGTAATGCCCAACATTTCTTTCCTCTGGAAATTGGCCAGTGTTTGTGCCCTGGTTCCTCTCAGATTCACCAAGCAGATACAGAGAATCAGCAAACAAGCGGCCTCTGCAAGTTCCCAGATGCTGCGGTTGGTGGAGGAGTGACTCTGTAGCTGCTCTACCATCTGGCCATCACTCTCCTGTCAAGTTCTGCTTTGCAGCATCATCTGATGAAGCTATACAGCATAACATGGCAAGCTGTGATATAGTGCAATGTGGAAAATGAATGAGTAGTCCAGGTGATCCAACACCAGACCCATTTTCTCAAGGCTAACTTTTACACTTTTTTCTGATGATGAAAAAAAAAAATCAAGAGAAGAAGAAATTACCAAATGTATCATGCCCAAAGCTACGAACAATGTAGTTTTAGAAGCTTAAAGAAATAGTAACAGAAGCTACATGTGTTCTTGTTCATGGAAGTAATATGATTGAGAAGTACCTTTTGATCAGGATTCTTGGTTTTGCTTAGCCACATCAATATATTTATTTTCCACAGATACTAAGGTGGATGTAATACAATTCTTTTAAATGTCCATAATCTAGTTTGATGATCCAAAATAGATGCTTAGCGTGGTCCTAGGGAGCAGTATCAGATCACCTGGGAACCTATTAGAAATGCACATTCCAGACTCTTCTCCAGACCCACTGAATCACAAACCTAGCAGCATATTAACAAACCTTCTGGGTGATTCTGATGCATGCGAATTTTGCAACACACTGCTTTAGAAAAAGAAAATTGCGAGTTGAATGGACTCTCTGCTGCTTTGTGTGAAGTGTATTAATATGAGAGTCCATATTTGGAAAACACAAAGGTATTGGAATCATTTATAATGTTGTTTTAGATAAAGAACTCAGGATCATACACAATTTCATATCAAACAAGTAAGATAACAATGTAGGTTCTGGTAAGCAGAATAAAGCTGCAAATAGATCCAGCAATAGAAATGCCACAGATCAGTTCTCGGTCTAACTTGGCACTCAGTGACGTTAGAAGAAAAGGGAACAAGTTTCTCCATATCCATTTATCAAATTTTCATATGGTGACAGCTGTGAGACCTTTCTCCCAACTTTGGAACCACACAGTACTGTGAAGTTACCCATGACATTAAAATACATATGATCATGTCATTTTAATAGTAAACTATGAATATAAGTAAAACTAAAATAATAGTTTTGTATATTTGAATAGCAATTACAATGCAATTATGTTGACATTAAGATTTTCATTAGATTATTTTTGGTGCTTTCGAGACAATAGACCAAGTACTCTTCAGTACAAGGTGGCTTTCTGTTTAGAAAAGAGAGAAAGCCACTTTAATCAAATAACAGTTTCTTTTTCAGCCAGAAAATTGCCAAATGTTTACTCTTTTTCAAATGAGAGGTCTGAAAATATAACATCTGTGTCTAATTTTTCTGTTTGCAATCTATACTCAGAAACTTGACAATAATACTCACCTTGTTTATCTGGATCCATTTCACAAATTGCCTGGAATGACAGATGGCAAGTGGGTCCCTGTAACTAGAGATGAGCCAGTATTTTAAGCAGAAGGTTTTGCAGCAGAGGAATCAGGCCAGGGGAACAAAAAGGCCACCAAACAAATCATTGCAGTCACCTGTGGGATGTGACTGCAAGGTGTTCAGGAGAGTGAAATATCTTGGAAGGAAAAAAACGAAAAAACAAAAAAAAACGAGAAACGTAGAGGTAGAGGCTCCCGATACTGGCCACGCTTCTCAGAAAACTGAGAACAGCTCCTGAAACTAATACTGTGATGACTTAGAGCCTTTGAGGCATTATAATTTTAAGAGTGGACTGTATTCTTACTTTCAGACGGTATCAATTTACTTGAATTTTAAGAACAAACTTTGAAGCTCTCAATACTTAAATTTTTAATGACACTATGCTAAATAATTCTACATATTAAATTTCTAACCAAAGCTTTCAATTTGTCACGTATATGCAGATATGTATACAGAGGATTCTGTTAATAGTTTATTTTTAAAAGTAGTCAATTAGCTACCTTTGTTAATTGTTTCATGTTGCAACTATTGTTCAAGCAACACAGAAACACACACACATGAGGGATTTGTGGAAAATGTATATTATGAAGAAACTAGGCAAGGATTTCAAAAATTTTTTTGTACCGAAATAAACTCACACTAACATGTTGAAGCATGTCTGAACAGGATTTGGTCTGAAGCAGTAAGAAGGATATCAGTTTGAAAATAGCCATTAGAGCAACATGAATTCTACTAAAATGGAAGCAAAAGCAAACAGCAAATGTATGGTGAAGCGTGGGTAGAAGAATAGTGAAATCATTGATGCTTTTCAAAAAGTTTATGGGGAAAATGCCCCAAATAAGTCAGTAGTTTACACCAAGGAATACTATGCAGCTATATAAAGAACAAGATCATGTCCTTTGCAGGGACATGGGTGAAGCTGGAAGCCCTTATCCTCAGCAAATTAATGCAGGAACATAAAACAAAGAATGCATGTTTTCACTTATGAGTGGGAGCTGAATAATGAGAACACATGGACACAAGGAGGAGAACAACACACAGTGGGGTCTGTTGGTGCCGGAAGAGGGAGAGCATCAGGATAAATAGCTTATGCATGCAGGGCTTAACACCCAGGTGATAGACTGATAGGCGCAGCAAACCACCATGGCACCTTTACCTGTGTAACAAACCTGCACTTCCTACACATGTATCCCAGTACTTAAAGTAAAATTACATTGAAAAAAAAGAAAAAAGCAATCAGTAGTTTGCAGAGGTATAACTCGTTTTGAGAAGGGATGAGATGATGTGGAAGATGAAGCCCATAGCAACACATTATCCACATGAATTTTCAAGGAAAAAAATGAACTTTTTTCTTTAAAAAAAGTGAATGCTGTAATTGAAGAGGAAAAACAATTAATAAAAGAAACAATAGCCAACTCCATAGATAGCTCAACTGACTGACCTTACACAATTCTAACTGAAAAATTGAAGTTATGCTAGCTTTACACTGGAAGGGTGCCAAAACCATTGCAAGTAATTAGCTACAGACAAGAGCAGAATCAATGGAAATTTTAAACACGTGGGACCAAGATTCTGAAGCCTTTCTTTGAAGAATTGTATCAATAGATGAAACATGGCCAAGCCCAGGTAGGCTTAGAAGGATCTAGCCTCCCAAACGGTCAACAGGACAGCTGAAGATATAATCTATCTGCCTCCACGCCAGGTCCTTACCTTTCTTAGTTTCTCTGGAGAAGCATTCTAGTTGAACCTCCATATAAATGACTCAGCAGTAGTGGAAGGCAGAAGCTGAGGAAAATCAGGTTTCCAGATGCAGCATTCCTATGCAGAGTTGTTTTCTTGTTCTGGCTGCCCGGCAGTCGCATGCAAAACAGTAATATTTGCGAGTGCAGTGTTTTCAGGGCTTACAGAGCGCATTCGTTAATATTAAAGATCCTGAATATTTAAGGTTATTCCCACTTCTCTTGTTTCCAAGGGCCATTTTCATATTAGTTTCATGTGTGGAGAGGCAGGTAAAACTTCTGGGTGCTGTTGAGAACAGGACATTCCACAGAGAGCAGCAAGCAGTCAGAAGGGCTCCATGTCCCACATAACCGCCACCTTCCAAACTAACTCAGTTAGGAGTTACCTAAGAGTGGAACTGAAATCATTTTATTAATTCTTTTATAAACACAGAGATGTGGTTACACATTTTTTAAAGGTGCTAAAATATAATGCAGGTCTCGGAAAGGATAATAATAACTTGTTATGAATGTACATTTCCTCTTACAGTTTAAGTATAATCTAAAAATGTCTTATTTCTAAAGTTTAGACTAAAAATGAACTTATTCTAATCCAAATAGGATTTTTAAAAGATGATGTCCCATGAACCAAATGTATTACAACCTTACCATTAATGACTTCAAGCTGTTGGCAAGGTAGGGAGTTGATATAGTTTGGCTGTGTTCCCACCCAAATCTCACCTTGAATTGTAATAATCCCCACATGTCAAGGGTGGGCCAGGTGGAGATAACTGAATCATGGGAGCTATTTTCCACATACTGTTCTCATAGTAGTGAATAAGTCTCACGAGATCTGATAGTTTTAGAAATGGGAGTTTCCCTGCAGAAGCTCTCTTGGCTGCCATGCTGTAAGATGTGCCTTTCCTCTTTCTTTGCCTTCCACCATGATTGTGAGGCCTCTCTGGCCATGTGGAACTGTGAGTTCATTAAACTTCTTTCCTTTATAAATTACCCAGTCTGGGATCTGAGAACGAACTAATATAGCAGTCAATGTATACATATCTTTGAAAAACGTTTGAACTGCAAGCATAGGTGTGTTACTTTGTGAGCAGCACCTGGAGAGCTGAAATGTCCGAGTGTTCAGGTCCCAAAAGTTACAATTAAAACAACTCAGATAAGTGATCACAGATTCACTCTAGAATGTCCCATAATAAAATCAGCTTTGAAACGTGAGTATGATATCCAATAATCGCTAATTTATTCTTTTCTTTTTGAAACATATTAGTATCACACTATTGGTTTCTTAAAAATGGAAACTTGTGACATTTAAAAAAATAAAAATTGATAAGTAATGGGGCAAGAATGGAATCAAGTGAAGGAGAATATAATCTATCATGTGTCTTTGTCTAGACAAATGACTTTCTGTGAAGAGATAAGACAAAAAATCTAGGAAGAAAGTAAGTCTATCTCATACGAAATCTATATCTGTTTGAGTGCTGCAGACTCAAAGCTGAAATTGTATTTAGAAGTTTTCTATTACACTATATCTGCATCATGACACATCATAGTGTCTGAGGTATCAGCAATAGAAGGAGGTTTGAACATTTTTCTGAGTGCTGACATTTTTAGATTTCAGCAGACATCTCTGGCATTGACTAATTCTGTGGAACAAGGATCGTGGTGCCAAAAAAAAAAATTGCCTGAAGTTTCAGTCGAAGTAACATAATTAAATAGACAAATGGTTAAGTACCTAAGAATGAACCAGGGTATGTTGCAAAGTAATCTAAGCAAATTGTCAGTTGATAGTCCTGAGCTCTTAGCATGGCTGGATTTCAGGCTTAGAGAAAAGATCTGAGAGCTGTTTTGGTTTCACTTACTTCTGTCAACTGGAATTTTGTGGTTACCATTGCAGTCCCCTGGCTCAAGTTCACATAGACCTGGTCATACTAAGACTTTTCCTTTTCTTCTTGTAAAATGTTTTGGGTTATAAATCAAAACCAGTTTTTTTCTTTCTACAAATGTTTTAGGTTCTAAATCAAATTTATGATCTTACAAGATCATAAATAACTGATGAGATGGCATTCTTTGCTAGCAAGGCAGTAGTTTCTGTATATCATAATTGGTAATTGACTCTGTCTTTATCTTCAGCAAGCAGTAGGAAGAGGGTACAATCTTTCCGCACAATCACAATTTGCCCTGGTTGGGACATAATGTTTCACACCAGCCAGAAGCTGGGTGTCCACTCCTTCTTGTGTATAGGCACTGTTTCTGTTCACTCTCTCTCCGATGGCTCCTTACACATACATTTGAAGACTATAACTCCCAAGAAAGAAAGAGGATTTACATGTATTTACATATATGATGAATAATCTCAGAGAAAAAAATTAAGTTACTGAAGTTGACTCAGAAAAAAATAGAAAACCTATATCAAGGAAGATAGAACAAATGAACTTACAGTATTACATTCCGAGCTCAGATCATGTTATGGGTCAAGGCTTTGAAGCTTTAAAAACACAAAAGATTATTATACTTTGAAAATGGTTAGAAGACCTAGAAGGTTACCAAATTTATTTTATGAAGCCAGCCAAACACTGAATGCCAAAAATGACAAAGCAATAATAATATCTTTCTCTGTATCCCACACATACTCTCACATAAAAATATATGAGCTGGTATGATTTATAAATATGGGTGAGAAAATCCTAAAGAAAGAACCTAGAAACCACATATTAAAAGAATAATTTACCATAATTGAGTAAGTTTTATTCTAGAGCTACAAAGATGCTTGGTATTTGGAATTGATAATATAATTATTAATAGATTCAGTAAGTGAAATCAAGTGATAATTTCAGTAGGTGTTACAAAGACATTTAATATTATTATTAACTATTTAAATTAACAAAAATGGTATACACTTATTGTGTGTATGATGTTTTATGTATGTATGTATGTATGTATGTATGTATGTATGTATGTATGTATGTATTTAGAGACAGGGTCTTGTTCTCTCTCCCAGACTGGAGTATAGTGGCATGATTATAGCTCATTGCAGCCTCAAACTCTTGGGCTTAAGGGGTCCTCTTGCTTCAGCCTCCCAAGTAGCTAGGTGCCTGCCACATGTCTGGCTATTTTTTTATTTTTTATTTTTGTGGAGGCAGGGTCTTCCTATGTTGTCCAGGCTGGTCTTGAAATCCTGGCCTCAAGCAATCCTCAGTCCTCATCCTCCCAAGTTGCTGAAATTGCAAGTGTGAGCCACTGTGTCCAATGGGATATTCTGAAATACATATACATTATGGGATGACTAAATTCATCTAATTAGCATGTATTACCTCACATACTCATTTTTGGGATGAGAACACTTAAAATCTCTCTTAGCAATGTCCAAGAATATATACATTGTCATAAACCGTAGTTGCCATTTTATACAATAGATGTCTCCAAGTTATTCCTCATGTCCTATAGAAATTTTTGTATCCTTTGACCAATGTCTTCCCAACCACCCTCCTCTCTCAGCCCCTAGTAACCGTCAATCTAGTGTCTACTTTTATGAGTTCAACTTTTTTAAGATTCCACATATAAGTGAGATCATGCAAATATTTGTCTTTTTGTATATGGCTTATTTTACTTAATGTAATGTCTTCTAGGTTCATCCATGTTGTTGCAAATGACAGAATTTTTTTTTAAACACCTACTAGTATTCCATTGTGAATATACACCACATTTCCTTTATCCATTCATCTTTTGATGGACACTGAGGTTTACTCCAATCTTGGCTATTGTGAAAAGTGCTGCAGTAACGTGAAGGATAGATATCTCTGACACAATGATTTACTTCCTTTGGATATATACCCAGTAGTGGGATTGCTGGTTCATGATAATTGTATTTTTAATTTTTTGAGGAAACTCCATATTGTTTTTCATAATGGCTGAATTAATTTACATTCTCACCAACAGCATGAAAGGAGTCCCTTTACTCCACCTCCTCGCCAAGACTTGTTATCTTTTGTCTTTTTGATAACAGCCATTCTAACAGGTCTGAGGTGATATCTCATCATGATATTAATTTCCATATCCCTTGGGATTAGTGATAGTGAATATTTTTTCATAAACCTGATGGCTATCTGTTGTCTTCTTTTGAGAAATGTTGATTCAGGTCTCTTTTGCCCATTTTAAAATCAGATTATTTGTTTTCTTGCTATTTAGTTGTGTGCATGTCTTACATGTTTTGAATATTCACCCCTTATTTGCATGGTTTGCAAATGTTTTCTCCCATTCTGTAGATTGTCTCTTCATTTCTTGATTGTTTCCTTTGCTATGCAAAAGCATTTTAGTTGAGGTAATCTCATTTGCCGGTCCTTGCTTTTGTTGCCTGTACTTTTGGGGTCTGATCCAAAAAGTCGTTGCCTAGACTGATGTCATGGAGATTTTACTTCACCTTTTCCCCATTGTTTTACATCTTCTGTTTCTTATTTCATGACTTTTGCCACAGTTTACAAAACAGGTTAGACACATAAAAATTATAAAAACAATCCAGTCAGAAAATGTTAAAAAAGATTTAACTCATAATTTGAGAGAAATTTAAAAATATTTAGGTAGTAAAGCTACCAATATTAGGTAGAATACTATGATTTCATGGCTGAGGCTTCTAAAACTGAACATCAGATTCATCAATGACTTCCATATTGCTAAGTCCAAAGTACATATTTCTACCTTTATCTTAGCTTTTTCTTACTAAACTTTATTTTGCAATTTCAAAATACATAAAGGTGGAAGAATAGTAAAAAAAAAAAAGCCTCTCATATACTCTTCCTTCAGAATCACTAATTGTTATTGTAAAAATATTTATACAAATACATACATATTGTGATTTTATTCTGAACCATTTAAGAGTAACTTATAGACATTTTGCCTTTTTACTCTTAAATACTTCAGCCTGTATTTTTTAAAAGATTATTCCCTTACATAGCTACTATATATTTTAAATAAAGAAATTTACATTAATAGAATGCTATTATCTAACAGACAGTATTTAAATTTTGCAAATAGTGTCCTTTACAGCATTTAATTTCTTGATCCAAGATCTAATTCAGCATCACACATTGCCTTTAGTTGTCATTGTTTAGT